GGCTTCATGGTATGTGGCTAGCTGGAGTTAAATCATGATGTCCATAATTTGTTTGGTCCCTATACCACACACCCTCAGGTAACGACTCCTCTAAAACTCCCCACGGCATGGGAGGGATGAGGAGTGGGCTTCCACTGGTACTGAGGTGTTCTGAGCACCCAGGTTCTAACTCCGAGTTCAGAAGAAGCGGGTACCTCATTTTTCTCGAGGCTGCACTCTGACATCACTTTATCTCCTTGCTCTTGGAAGGTGATGATGATTAACGCCACAAAGATGTTCACAAAGAAAAAAGGGAAGACAACAAAATACACCACGTAAAAGATAGACATTTCCATTCGGTAGCCAGGGCTGGGACCCTGTTCCTCATAGGTAGCATCCACCGAGTGCTTCAACACGCTGCAATCAAGCACAAAGAGAGAAGAAAAGTCAATGAAATCAGTGTGAAGCACCAATGATACCCTGATAGTCACTCACCATCCTTCACTCATGTAAAGGGTTTGCCACATATGCTCAGGTCAAACTCATTCCCATCTCTGTGGCTGGGAAGAAGTTTTCCTTGAGGATATTTTTAAGGAAACCCTTGCTCTTTTCACCATTCTGCAGAATGATGGAGATCTGCTATGTACAGATCCACTTATCCCAGTGGCCAAGGGGAGAGGATACAGTTAGATCTGGCTTCTCTTCTCTGGTCAACAGGGATGAAGTAAGGATGGGAAGAGAAGGGTGTTGATGATCTCTGAGTAGGGTAACACAGTGAAAATCTGGAGAAGGGAGACTGATGCTGTAGGTTTTATTCTTTATTTTATGAAATTGCTGAATGTGGAGGACAAGGAAGGCCTGCCATGGAGGAACCCTGCATGTCAATTGTACTCCACATGTCCCAGCAGTAAAGTGTGCCAAAATAAAGTCATATGCTGAACAGTAAATATAATTTTAGGACTGTCACACCCAGCATACTTTCAGCATTGGTCACAATAGCTTTTTCCCCTCATTTTCTTACATTTCCATTATCAATTTTATACCTGAGAAAGGTGTTCAAGTCCAAAAGACTGAAGCAAGCAAGCTATTAAGTACTGAAAACAATCTAAGCACCCCTGTGCAATCTCAGATGAATGTAAAGCAAAATGCCAAGTCCTGTCTGCTGATTCACCCAGTAATCATGCAAGGGAAAGTGAAAGCTTAGCTGATAAAAGGCTTCTTTTTTCACAGGTCACCTGCCATTTACGTGTCCCTCAGAGCTGTGGAAAGCTGCTATTACCTCTGTGATCACTGACCCTACCAGTCCCACGTACTCACGTTGGCCACCCTTCGCCTGTGGAGACGGTGAAGAGCGTGAGCAGAGCCCAGAGCACGTTGTCATAGTGGAACTCATATTTTTTCCATTCCCTGGGCTGTGCCTCCACCTCATTTTTTTCATAATCGAGGTACTGACCCCTAGTAAAGAGAGATGCAGACCAAATGAGAGAAATAAACCAAATCAGCCATTTCATATGACTCACCGAGGAGCATCACAAAGCTCCAGTAGTGAACTCCAACTGTGCTAGGCGTTAAAGTCAAATAAAGATACAGCCCCATGGCTTCTAACAGAAGTAAAGGCAATTCTCAAGCCATTTTGAGCCACAGGAACTAGATGTGAGGGCTAGGAATGAAAGAAATTGTAAGCAGGACATTCATCCATTAGGCAAAGCCAGCAATTAACAGCATGCTGGCACGCAAATTGTCTGACCCCGCAGAAAACTGATGGGGAAAAGCCTCTGTCTCCTACTGCAGAGTTGGATCTCACTTTTAACTGGGTTCTGCTTTGAGGGGTCAAGGGATGCAGCATCTGGAGAGTTCCCCTCCAATCTACATTTTTATATAATTTCACCTTTTTTTTTTTAATATATCTGCTTTATTGCAAGGAAGAACTGCAGTGACAGCCTCGGTGGCTGCTGCGTGCATGAGATCCCACCAGGGATGTGCCCTATGTTTGCAAGGTGGCAGGAGAAGGGTAACATGGGCAGACCCGGACAGTGCTGAGGATGCCGTTTGGGTGCCAAAGAAACAGGCAATTGAGGAAGACACACATTGTGGCAAGTAAAGCACCTTGACAGCCTGCTGAAAAGGACAAAGCATGACAGAGCTTTTAAGATATTCAAATACTGACCCCTTTTCTAGCTAATTAGAAGCTCTTTAACATCCTACCGACTGACTTCTGATTATTTATTCATTAGGGTTTTCCAATTCATAGGAGCCCTAAAATTCAAGGCAGCAGATAGGGAAATGAGTCACGCCATCCCTTCCAAAACCCTTCACCTTAAAATCACACCTAGTCCTCACAGGGAAAAGGAGTCTGCTCCCCCATATCATTAAGCATTTGGGTAAGTATTTGTTAGATCAGAGTCCGGAACGATGCAGCTATTAAAACAACAAAAGGGAAAATTCACCTCTAGGGTAATTGTGCTGAAGCATCGCTCTTACAGGACACTCATCACGCTCAGCAGACACCCGACTGATGCAGCTTTGGGACAGTCAAGGGAGCTGCTACTGTCAAAGTCAGGCTCCCCCTTGCCCCAGCCCCTGTCCCCGGCTGTACCTGCAGTCCTTCTCCAGCTCTTTCGACTCATCAGTGCAGTAGAAGAATCTGCCTTTGAAGAGCTGCACAGCAATGACAGCAAAAATGAACATGAAGAGCATATAAACTATGAGGATATTGAGGACGTTCTTCAGAGAATTCACCACACAGTCAAAGACAGCCTGGGGACGGAGGAGAACATGATTAAGGGGTTGAAAAAAAAGTGCATCTAACATCTTAGCATCTAGCATCTAACTACACTTCACAGAGTCATAGAATCACAGACTGGTTTGGGTTTGAAAGGACCTTAAAGCCCATCCAGTTCCAACCCCCTGCCATGGGCAGGGACACCCTTCACTAGACCAGGCTGCTCAAAGCCTCATCCAGCCTGAAGACAGTCAGGGGTGGGACTGCATAAGTAATGCTTTTCAAATATTTGCATTTAAAC